ATTTATTACTGGGAAAGAGTTGGGGTAGGCTTAGGACAGGAGATTTTAGATTTTAGACAGGAAAGTTTAGATTTTATATATCATCATCATGTATGATCCAAATAACTAACCTTATCGATTACTCTTATTGCTCATTTTTGCAATTCTATTAATGATTGCAGTGAAGTTCTGTAGTTGTTGCCTCATAATGCTGCACAATAACTCAAATGAGGTAAAGTATGTGGAGAGCTGTTTCCTCCAGAACATGTTTGGCTTTATTTAAAATAAATAGACTTTTTGACAGTTTACTTTGTAGACATCTAATTCGAGGTTTCATGTTATTTTATCATCAATAATGACCCCAAGAAATTTATAAATATGTACTCTTTAAATGTTTACACCATATATCTTTCATTTGATGTCTTTATTTGACTTACTATTCCCAAATAGCATTATTTTTGTTTTGGCCAGATTTAAGAACAACTTACTCTCATCAAACCGTAATTTCAGTTTGTTCACAGTTTTAGTTACATAATTAAGCAACTCTCATCTCCAACAAAAAATATGTTAGTGTCATCTGCAAATAAAACTATTTTAATRTTGTCTGTTATATAACAGSGATGCACGATATATCGGCATTAATATCGGTATCGTCCAATATTGGTCATTTTTTAGAATATTGGTATCAGTTCGATATTTGAAACTGGGCCAATATTAACGTTCAGTATTGAKTTCCCACTTTTTAGCTTTAGTTTCTGTTTTGGGAGAGGAGATGGTTTGATATGCTGCRTAACCAGTAATAACGGAAGTAGGGAGCCATGTTAGCGGCCTGGTTTTTTATTTACAGTATTGAAAAAAGACATAAGTGTGTTTGTGCATATATGTATAATATAATTTGTGTGATTTTGTAATTTCGGTAAATATAGGTTCTTGAGCAATAATTATCGGATATCGATATCGGCTGAAATTTTAATATCGATGCATCCCTATTATATAACATAGATCATTTATATAAATAATGAATAATTTAGGTCCCAATACTGAACCCTGATGAACCCCACAAGCATGTCTAAACATTGAGCGAAAACATTTTCCATCTGTAGGGTTAATTTAAACATTACTATATTTGATGAGTTAGTGCATATGCTTTTTGCAAATCTAATTTGTACATAATGTGCAAAAGCAAATTACAAACATACAAGAAATATAAGAAACATCCTTTTTGTAGAGCTGTGTAAACGACTAAATAATATAGCAGTACATATTAAAACTTAATTTGAACATGCAACATACCTTCCTACTTTAAAYCATTCTTGCACATCCAGGTGTTTCTGTCTGTCTGGCCACATATTTTCATTGATGTTTTAGCACAGATCATCCCCCTTCCTCCTCTCTCCCTTTTTGTCCCTTTCCCTATCCTTCTCACCTCTTCTTCAATGACACATTCATTTCTCTTTCACAATATTGTTGAAATGATACCCACATTTCAACAATGCTTCACACACTCATCGATGAAAGCTGAAGTTCACCTGAGAGAAATGGTTAAAATTGGACGACATTTTCAGGAAAAACAAATAAAGATTTGCATGGCCTACAATTTGGTTGATTTTGGCAACTATGGTAGTTCAACATTTTTATGTTGAAGGAAATTTATTCTGTTTATTACATATTTTTAATGTATCACACATACTGTTTTATTTCAAGGTTAAGTAGGATGTATTTTGATTACTTATTTTACCTAATTATTTATTTTTACGATTAATCTGTGATTTAGTCATGTGCAGTCTGCTTTGAGTGGCTTATGTCATGGTYACCAGCAGAATGTGCTGTGTCTGATAGGATTAGCTAAGACATGTCATAAATACACTTACTACACAGAGATGTTATCTCATCAGTTTGCAGGAAGTTTGTTCGAGGATCTGTTAACACGTCGGGGAGACTGCCCCCAACCGTGTAAAGTCCTGTTTGAGGTGGGGCCATATCCTGAAAATGGTGTTAAATGGGATTGCAATTCCTTGTTCATGGCCAAATTCAGAGACAATAAACATCTGTATTTGGTCCAGCTGATTGGTTTTTCATGAATTTCACACATAACTTTCAAGTGTTATGTATTTGTTTCCTTGTTCCCGACATGCATCAGAGTGACTGAATATGCATTGTTTTTCAATGTAATAACTCAGTAATGAAATGAGGACCATTAATTTTATAGGGAATAAACTATTCAGCATTCATTAGTATAGTTCATTTTGACTGACTTGACATAAGCCGTGGTAATGTTAGAAAACAGCAGAAAATGGTATGAGAGGAACTGATGCAGGGCCAAAAAGGCATTCGCAATTTGTTGGAACGAATGAGGAACTGCTTCTATGTCCATAAATGACTAAATATGGAGGATGAAATAACAATTATGATCATTTTAATTCTGATTAGAGAAATGAACCAAAGCAATTGAGAAAACTGTAACACAAACATTATTCTGTAAGACATTTTAAGCAAAGACAACAGATTGCTTTCCTAAAATGTTTGCATAAAATACGTTCCTTGTCTCTTCATTGAAGTGTAAACAGCTATAGCTAACTGATAGGTGTATGGCCCATGTCTCAAAAAGGAATTTTGAATATCCACTATCCAATGTTTTTTTAAACAAATACTGTCAACATTAATGAATGAATATTAGTATAGACCAGTGGTTCCCAAACATTTTATCTTCTGACCCACAAAATATTCATGGCAAAAAATTGTGACCCCAAATATTACTGGTCTGAGTACACAAATTTTGTTAATAACCCTAAAAACAAAGGCTACACAAACATAAATACTTATTTATACTTATTTTGTGTTTTGTAATAATTATAGGGAAATATTACACCACCAAGTATTTTATTACACTTTAAATAGATTTCTGAAGTGCAGTGGTTCCCAAACTTTTCAGCTTTTGACCCACAAAATAACAGTGGCAGAGACCTGTGCCCACAACTATTTTTGGATGATAAACATTTGTATCTGGTCAACGTTTATTATTTATTATTCTATATTTATGCATTTTAGGCAGCTAAGGCAAAAATGTAATTAATTTAGAAAATATTTTCAGGACCCCACCTTGATGTTTCAGGACCCCACTTTGAGTCCCAACCCCAACTTTGGAAACCACTGGTATAGACCAGTGATTCCCAAACTTTTTATCTTCTGACCCACAAAATATTCATGGCAAAAACTTGTGACCCCAAATATTACCGGTCTGAATACACGAACTTCATTAATAACCCTAAAAACACAGGCTTTTTGACAATCTAAACAGCTTGTACACAAATGTAAATACTTATTTATACTTATTTTGTGTTTTGTAATAATTATATGGAAAATATTACATCAGCAATTACTTTATTACCCTTTAAATTAATTTCTGGAGATTATCCAAGGTGCTTCATGACCCATAATCGGGTCCCAAACCCAATTTTGGGAACCAAAGTGCAGTGGTTCCCAAGGTTTTCAGCTTTTGACCCACAAAATAACAGTAGCAGAGACCTGTGCCCACAGCTATTTTTGTATGATAAACATTTGTATCAGGTCAACWAAACATGGGCATAGTAACAATATTTTTTTATATTACATTTATCCATTTTAAATATACTAACCTCACTCCTTTGTAACAACTAAGGCAAAAATGTAATTAATTCAGAAAATATTTTCAGGACCCCATCTTGATGTTTCGGGACCCCACTTTGGGTCCCGACCCCAACTTTGGGAAACACTGGTATAGACCATGTTTACAATACATATTGTTTTTATTTTGTAAAACAGGGTGGAAATATGAACAACTTTTGTATGTCTTACTGGAATGAGAGGATACAGCTGTTTTATGTTTTGAAGTGTTATTCATATTTTATTGTTTTAATGTTAAGCTTAATGTCAAGGACTTCAGATGGAGTCAATAGCTAAATCTGGTACAACTCATGCTTTTCTTAAAGAAACAATATTTGAGTTCTCTGTCCCTTTTTATATTAAATACTAAGACCGAACTAGAGATGCGGCATTCCCAAACAATCCAAATCTTTTGAAAGACTCTTTAAAACAAATATTGCGAATGAAGTCACAGACAATTGAGAGGCATTCCTTTTTTTCAGTTTTGTTTTGACAGACACACTTCATTTGCTTTTCCACTCAGATGAAGAACAGGCAAAGAGAGGCACATCAGTTGTATATGGGAAGTATACACTCAGGAGGGGAGGGAGGTTGCATGCTTGACAAGCCAGGTGACCCTTGTTGTTGTATGTCATCACGTATGGCTATACATACAGTATGTGGAGACATAGTCTGTGCATGTGATGTCACTAAACAAAACAGAGTTGAATGGTTCTTGCTGTGACAGTTGGTACATTTTGAATAACACCAAATAAKTTAAAACACATTTCCCCTGAAGTAAAAGGAAAATATATAGTGGTGGTTATAAGACAAACATTTTAAACACAGTATGAGTGTAGTGATATAAAAAAATAAACTAAATAAACACGAGAGTATTTTGTTGTCTGAGGAGATGCTGCCTCTGTGCACTCAGGAATAAAACTTCAACAAAGAAAGTTTGAATACTTAAATACTTATAGTTACAATTATTCTGTCCAGAGATCACATCACTTTGAGTGAAGAACATGTCCTTTCTCCAAATGGGAAAGTAATTGCAGTCTTTGCCACCTATACTCCCACATAATAGCACTTAGTCCCTGTAATTTTGTTTTCACTCTTCCTCTTGTCTCCATCTGCATATGTTAAGTGTAGCAATTACACWGGGAAATTGCTTGTAGCTACATGGGGTTTATAGGATAGACAGTTTCTTTTAATGGTAAGAACAAATAAGGGAACTGTTGCACTGCCCTATAGCATTATCATAAGTTTTTTGTTTCTAGTTGCAAAATTTTAAATGTTCACCGTACAACTCATGTTATCATTTTTATTACAGTAAACAATTAAAATTTACATTTTCCAAAAAAAAAACATACATAAAAACTGAATAACATTTTACGAAAAATAAAGCTATACATGCTTTGAGACAAAGCTAATTGATGATTGGGAAGTTTTTTTATTTAAATCTGTTGTTTTAGTCGTATTCTCTTTAAATCAAACCTTCCRTTCTAAACAAACAACAAGGGAACGTCATAAAAGTTAAATTAATAGATTTAAAATTAAAATGCACAAACCAGTACACAATATCTAACTAAATAAAATATAACTTTTTCAGCAGTTTTTTTTCTGACAAGAGCTATGATACTTTAAAAAAACAACATCTATATACAAGCATTCATAATTCTTGTGAGAGCTTTTTGACTGACAAGTGCTGTGATTGCTGGAAAATGTGAAACTTCAAATGCATCTTTGTACCATTGTGGATCCCTGAAAAATTACATGATGTTAAGATAAACTACAGTAAACATATCTGTCTGTGTAATGTTAATATAAAATGTGTTTTTGTCAGTTTGTTAGACAGAGGTAAGGATATGTACTGAAATTGCACCTAGCTGCTCTGTGAAAATAATACTTTCACTTCTGTTTTCTGCCCACATGACTGCTAACTAACCACCAATGGCAGCTGCAGGACCTCCAAGCTTTTGGAACATTATCCTTTCTTGCATCTCTAGTCTCTCTCTCAGTCTGSTTGGTCTCTCCACCCCTCCGTGACCTGGGGATGAACGCACCAATGAGGAGCCTCACAGTGAGTCTCGCTGGTCCTCTTTCACCCCATCCACCTTCCACAGCAMCACAGTCAGTCACTCACTCACTTACTCACAGAGTGTGTCGCATATATGCCTTGATGTCAGATGTGGTGGGCATTCCTGTCTCTATGAGCGTATTGTAGGTGTGGGTAGTGTACTGTACACCATATAAGCCATGATGTTGACTAACTGTTGTGTGTTATTTACAGGGTATGCCTGATCGCATGTTATGTGCAGTGCTGGAGCAATTTCAGCTTTACTTTTCCCTTTGGTATGTGCGCTTTGTCTCCATTCACACCGTCATTTCTTCTTGTGTTCTTATGTTAAAACAGCCTGGACATTTTTAATTTCTTTAAATTTTGTTTCTGCATACACACTTTCACACAAATATGCAGTTTAAATGTGCAGGTAACACCAAATTACTGCTCCTTAACTTTGTAGAACATTATCTGCTAGCACTTTTGTGTTCAGCATGATGAAGCTCTTTTTATTATGTTATTTAAATGGTAAGTTACTGGAGCAGTTCCAGTGTGATGACATTTGTTCTGTGTTCCATGTGTGCTGCRTTGTGCATCTTGGTGGCCATTCTACAATTCAGCACATTCAGTTTTGAAGCACACATCTCTGCTCTGGCAATTCAAGTCTGGGAAGTTAAACATTTTGTGCAAAATGCATAATTTTACATTTATTGTTACATTATTCAGATGTGTATGGTAATTTGATTAGTCAAAGATTTGTACATATATATTTATTTAAGACTCATTATATATATTTTTTCTAACTCAAAATTATGTAAATGTGGCCTTGCATTAAGCATCTAATTTTTATTCAGATATCTAAATAATTGGAGTTGTACTGCCCCTGCCCTGACTTGAATGTGGCTAGAGAGCCTCCCCCYGTTCCTCATTTAGCTTTGGTCATTGTGTGGTTCGCCTCCCTCCCTTTGTTAGATTCACTCCCTGTATAGCACGGCAAGCCCCAGCATGCTGAAGAGGAAACAAAGCTCACGGGTTGAGGCCCAGCCGATGACTGACTTTGGGCCAGATGAGACCCTTGCAGACAGCGCTGACATCTTCTGGATCAACAAACCAGTGAGTGTACAGRCGCAAGTTCAGGTCAACTAGGCTTGGGTGGTTTCACGGTATTTGGGTTTACTTCRGTATTGAAATATGGTGATGGTATTAAAAATGTACGAGGGTATATTAATTTTATTATTCATGTGTGGTGATGCACCAAATTTCCACAAGGCTGCTATGAAAACAGGGACATCAACATTATAGGCTCTTTCAAAAGATGCCCCATAGCGTTATGACCCGTGTTCTGACCACTTCGGTCCATTCACAAGACAAACTGAGGCGTAGAAGAGGAACAGAGACCCCCCAACTGTCGCACCTCTTAACCTCTGTGCAAGGTAGTGACAGAAATGTTACTCGCCAACTCCCGTAAGCTACTTGCTGCAAAAGAGTAACTAAATAAAAACTTTATCTGCCCAGAGACTGGCTAAAAGTAYGCAGCAGCACAGATACAACAGTGGTAAGGGTCAGATTATTCTGAAATGTAAAAATCCTAAAAAGATGTAGGTTACTTGAATGTATTTTGATCTATGCAACATATTAAGGATCAAGAGCCATTCTGCAACCCCTGCTTCACTCATTATCAGAATGAATGACAGCAATACATCAGATCAAATGAGTTTTTTTACACATCTCTCTTGATCCTGCTCTGATTAATTTTCTCTGAAAGAGCATTTGAGTGCAGTAACAGAATGCCTCTGTCTGTGACTTTTGAACTGACAGAGGGAGCAACAACACATCATGAGCTGTTCGGCCATTTAGCGGTATGCTACTGTCTTCAGAAAGAGCTTTCTGTGAAGCCATAAAAGAGCAGTGGGTGTTACATTTCAGATCATCATGTAAAGTCTCCAAAAAGTCACATTTGTTCATTTACAACTTCACTGCTCTCTCTGGCTCTAGAATGTCAAGCTCTATGCATGTACCTTATACAGTGGGGTGCGAAAGATTGGGCAGGCTTGTTAATTTTCCTGATTTACCTTTATAAATCATTGATTGTTTGGATAAAAAAATCAGTTAAATATATCATATAAAAGACACACTCAGTGATATTTGAGAAGTGAAATGAAGTTTATATGATTTACTGAAAGTGTGCAATAATTGGTTAAACAAAATTAGGCAGGTGCATAAATTTGGGCACCTTAAAAAACCTTAACTCAATATTTAGTAGATCTTCCTTTCACAGAAATAGCCTCTAAACACTTCCTGTAGCTTCTAATGAGAGTCTGGATTTTGGCTGAAGGTATTTTAGACCACTCTTCTTTACAAAACATCTCTACTTCATTCAGATTTGATGGTTTCCGAGCATGGACAGCTCTCTTTAAGAGACACTACAGATTTTCAATAATATTCAGGTCTGGGGACTGAGATGGACATTCCAGAATGTTGTACTTGTTCCTCTGCATGAATGCCTTAGTAGATTTTGAGCAGTGTTTAGGGTGGTTGTCTTGTTGGAAGATGCAGCCCCGGCTTCAGCAGCTTCAGCTTTGTCACTGATTCCTGGACATTAGTCTCCAGAATCTGCTGATATTGATTGGAATCAATGCGTCCCTCAACTTTAACATGATTCCAGTCCCTGTACTGGCCACACAGCCCGACAGCATGATGGAACCACCACCAAATTTCACTGTAGGTGTTTTTCTTGGAGTGCTGTGTTCATTTTCCTCCATGCATAACGGCACTTGTTCTGCCCAAAAAAACTTTTTTTGTTTCATCAGTCCACAGCACCTTATTCCAAAATGAAGCTGGCTTGTCCAAATGTGCTTTAGCATACCTCAAGCAGCTCTGTTTGTGATGTGGGCGGAGAAAA